GCTGTGATAATGGACTTACGTTGCCATGGTCATTGCCATGGTCCCTACATTTCCATCGTCGAATACGAACTAGGCACGATGGCGCTGAGGGGCCGATCATGCTGCATAAGATGGTCCTTGCTGTGATAATGGACTTACGTTGCCATGGTCATTGCCATGGTCCTTACATTGCCATTTCCCACAAGAATGGACCTGACTCGACTCTGACAGACATGGACCTGATTCGATTCTGACAGACAGGGACTCGACTTGACTTAGACAAACATGGACTCGACTCGACTCGATTCGCCATCTTCCAAACCCATAGTTCCAATGCAACCCGTCCGGTTTCCTCTGATCCGGGCCACCCATACTAAAGGTTTGAGATGTCCATCTTCAAACTAAAAACAAGACCCCCTGTTCGGGTCACTCCTTGTCAGTAGCTAAAACGGAGACTCGCCTCCAAGTTATAGCTCGGATTCCACCACGATGATTTCCCTTCGTCATGGTTTGTCAGAGCTACATACCGAGGTGAGGTTTAAAAATCAGAGTCCCGATCCCCCGTTCGGTTACCCGTGTTACCAAATGCCGCTCGATTCGTCCAACTCATAGTTTTACACCATCTCCTGAACTGGCTTGAATCCTTTGCTCGGTTATCCGAAACGCGAGGTCAAATCCTAGCTGAAATGGATGCTCCCTCCAGATCAAGATGGAGGTTCTCATTCGGTCATCCAGAATGATTGCCAGCATTGGTTGATCGAGGTGAGGCTTGCGATGTTAACGTTCGGTTCTTCTATACTAGCGGTCGAAGTGACATTCAGGGAGCTCTGAATTCATTCTCTCTCTCTCTTTTTTTCTTTTTTTAATACAGGGACTCAAAATGATGATCACATCGTGCCGGGTTGGCCGATCGTGAAGGTATAGAAGTAGTCAATGATGATCCGAACAATAGGTCTCCCTCCGTGGAGCGTGAAGATGCCTTCAGAGGTGATAAACATGTCGTGCCGCGAGGCCGATCATGGTATGAGGACAACGGCGACAACTGCATCAGCGGTCCATGAAATATAATCATGTTGTAATGATGGCGGTACTAAGGACACCGATCTGAAAACTCATGCAACGGTCCTTCGTCCGTGAGGAGCGGGGACGAGGCCGGTCTTCAAAATATGCTCGTCTCAAGGCCCTCAGTAGTGATGGTCTCCTTGAGGTCCTCGGCCTCCTGGTGTAAGATGCTCTTCTCACGGCCCTCGGACGTGATCGAGAATGTGTGAGGGTCTTACAGGCACCCTCTGCCTATGGTACAATGGCGCTGAGAGGCCGATCATACTGCATAAAACGGTGATCCTCCCCTGTAAAGGTGTGGGCGGACCCGATCGTGGTCAAGAATGTGTGAGGGTCTTGCAGGCGCCCTCTGCCTCTGGTACGATGGCGCTGAGAGGCCGATCATACTGTATAAAATGGTGATCCTCCCCCTGTAAAGGTGTGGGCGAACCTGACCGTGATCAAGAATGTGTGAGGGTCTTGCAGGCACCCTCTGCCTATGGTGCTTGCTCTAGGTGCCGAACGACGGGGCTGGATTGCTAGTCATGGAGTGTGACCTGATTTTTTTTGCCAGTCATGAACGTGTTTGTGCTTCATGCTGAACGTCACATATCTCCCCGATCGGACATATCGAACAGCTTTGCCTGATTGTGATTTCTTTTATTTGCCGATCATGAACGTCTCTGTGCTTCATGCCGAACGTCATGGATCTCCCAGCTCGAGCATATCGAACGGATTCCATTGCACAATAAGCATGGTAACAAGGCCATACGGCCCAACAGTATATATACACATATAAAGCATGTATAAACATTTTATTACCGACCAAGACGGTAATAATAACCCTTGGCCTGGATTTATTTCTCAAACTGTGAGAGTCCACGGCCGGTCCACCTTGTGGTTTACCGGGCGCTTACAGAAAAATTTTGGCTGATCAAAGTACGTACTTTGCCCCGTACTGGGTAAAATACTCGTTCGGGAAGATCAATGACGTTCGGGACCATGAATGGTCCTCTAATTAAAAATGTGTCATCGGGCAATGCCCTTTGGGACACTTCAGCTTGCTAATTAAAGCCGATCGGGATGGGCCGACAGGCCCGCTAAATCCAACCATTTATCCAAATGATGGTGATCTTATTGCCAAAGCTTCACTCGCTATCGTTTAAATCTGGATACTTCAATCCCTTCTAAATAATGGTTATTCAGCTAATAGCAATTAATACTTTAATGTATTAGCACTCGATGCCTAGCAGGACTTCATCGTATAAAAGCGCGTCGTCGAAGTGATACCCTACGGGGACACTCCGTTCGTGCAATTACACCCGATCGTGGGTTGGCCGGTCGGTCCACTAAACCAATCATTTAATTTAAAATGATGGTGAACGTATCATTAGAGTTTCTCTCGGCATTATTTAATTTGGGAAAATTTAATCCCTAATAAATAATGATGATAGATAAACATAATAGTAATAATATCAAGCAACAGTTGAGAAAATTGTTGTACTTAGCTCTTGGTGACGTGCTGAAATACTTGTTGCTTGAGATAAATTCAAAAATTTCCCGTTCGACAGCCGCTCCATGGCTTAACAATCCATAGTGGTGGGCCATGTCTCTCTTCCGTATCCACTTAATTGGAAAGAAGACTTCAGACGCCTCTCCATTCTCCAAGTTGCAAAAACCCACCAACCCAGTGCCGCATTGTCGATCGTCACAAGATAGCACACCAGAATTGGTGCTAGAAAAAGGAGAAACCAGACTATGGGGGTGCCGGACACACGATGTCCGGTGGCATGGTACCGAACGGGAAGGTGTCGCCGAACGGGAAGGTGCCGAACGGCGGGGTGCCGGAACTGAGCTGGGTGACGTCGGTCTAGTTGTTATACCGTGCGGGGGGTCCCTTTTTTATTTGCTCCAGCCACCCAAGCACACTGGCCGCCGACCAGAGAGGTGTTCAAGGTCTGAATTGAAGCGGCAACCTTTTCCGGTAGCAAGTTCGTGGAACGAATCGGTGAGCAGCAATCTTCTCCGTGAAAGTCTAGTCGGACGGTTAAGCTGATCTTCAGCTGCCGGACCAAGTCATTGGCCCAATGAGAACTAAATTCGTCAGGATGATCCAGTCCAATAACAAGACTGGGCTCTATCTTGACTGAGTGGGAGTTTTTATTTGGAAATATCTGGCCCAGTCCATCATACCGTGACTTCGTTGTAATTTTGTTCCCGCATGTTTGGGCCGATCGGGATTCCCAGACATCGTTCGAGGTTTTCCCGTTCTTCCGGATGTAATAACTTCAATGGCATGGTGGACCGTCAAAATAAAAACAAGCCCAGATTCATCGCTGGATCCAAGATATGTCGGATGGTGTCTTGTCAGACGAAAATTCTTGGACGATTAGGAAAAGTCCCGAGGCGTAGACCTGCCGAGCGGAAGCCGTGAACCTGAGCAGGAAAAATGGATGGAAGTCTAGACTGAGCAACAAGATCGGGCGGTTAGGTGTGTCAGGCGGTGAGATGATTCGCGGTTGGATCTGTTGTATTTCCGAACGACTGTGCCTCATAGATCTTGGCAGAGGATGTCGTGCGGTGGGTTGAGATGTGACCGGTCCTGCTGAATTTCCCGAACGGCCTATTAGCATATTGGATTCTGGCGTAAGAGGAGGATGGCATGCGTCAGGCTGAGCCCCCTCATCGTATACCTGTTCTGGATCGGGCAATATTCCTTAGTCGGTTCACGTGGTGATGATCTGGGAGTCAACTGTCATTCTGTTGTTCCAGCTATGGTTTGTGCATTTCCGCTATCTGTCAGCTTTTCTGATGTTCCCGGTCAGGAGGTCGGCCCTTAGGCGAACTGGGTGCTGCTGGTTCTATGTTTCCCCGCTCGGGTTGAGTGGCCTGTGAATTTTTTAGAGGCTGAACTTCCCCGCATGGTTGTAGGAACAATCATGGGCCGGGGTTCCGGGCAGCCCCAACAAATTTTAGTTTACGCCCCCACCACACTCTAGCGGCATATCGAGCCAGCATGAAAAGCGGTCGGATCACGTGCCGAACGACACACCTTTGGTAGAGTTGGTTACCCTATGCGGTTGCTTACTCCATTTGGCGTTAAGGTGAGTTGATGCTCATAGGAAGATTGGACCGATGCTCTGGGTTTGCAAACTTGAATAGTTGTTTGCCGATATGATCCTTCATTTGGTGTAGGTGCATGCGGGGGGAACCTCCCGTTCGAGTCAAGCACCTCCGGGTGGGGCCCGCCTTCTTCTACTTCCTGACTTTTATTTTATAAGTTGGGAGCTAAGTATTCAGTAGTCAGTACGGCATCCTTTCGTCGTTGGCCAGATGATGTGTAACACCGCCCCCAAGTATTTGTACTTTATCAAATTATGTATTGAACCCTGAGAAATGTATAAAAACATTTTTACGTGATTGTAAATTTTTATCATTTCTTTTACGTGAATAGTAAAATTCATGTGGGACCCACACCGGATGTGGGGCCACCCGATATTATCGGGACCACATATTATATTAATCTTGGACTAGATAATACGTATATGGTGGTGGATATCCAAATTGGGCCATGGCAATGGCATAGGCTTGACCGGTTGGTCAAACGGGGCCAAATTATCAGTATCGGTAATTTATCAGATAACAGCCCGAAAAAGAGATTTCGGAGACTTCTAAATTAAAGTTGAGGAATACATATTCTGTCTAAGGTCCAATAAGGATCGGGAACAAGTGCTATATTTTATTTGACCCAGTAAAATAATATATATATGAAATGGTCCAGAAAATACAACTTTCGGGACCGATTGTACACTCGGGGATACAAAGGGTTGACCTCCCACATAAGTGGGGTCCAACCCACGTTTTAGCCTTTCACAAGATTAGAGAGATCCGCAGAAAAATATGAGGGAGAGGCATGAAGTGATTTGGAATCAAAACATATAAATGAAATGGGACCCCTCCCATATTATTTGGTGAGAAATGCCAAAAAGGAATTCTCAATCAGTCCTCAACCCATATGCTCGACCAGACCATCATCCTAGAGGAGAGAAGCTCTGCACAAACTCCATTTTCATCCATCATACACGCACCAAGTTAAGGGAGGAAGAGGAAAGGAAAAAGAGAAGAGAAAAGAGGAGTTTAGGTGGGAAAACTTGTGTTTAATAAGGTAATGACTCCATTAATCCCATTTCTTGTTCTTTAATACTCTTATATGATTATTCAATCATATTTCACACCCTAGTATTGTTCTACACGTTTGAATGTGTAGAAAGAGGGGTTGGAAGGTAGTTCTAAGTCCAAGAACGGGCTTAGAAGCCAAAGTGACCGGTTCGTCGGAAAGTAACCTTTTTAGGTTATTTGTATTACTATGGGTTTTATGATGATAAAACCTTGTTAGTAACTTATCTAAGTTATTCAAGGAACTTTCACGGAGTCGAAAGGGTCGCCGGAGTTGTCGCTGGAGTTCGTTGAAGTTTGCCGGAGTTTCGTCGGAGCTAAATCGGGAAGGCTAGAACTTCATAAGCTTCATTAAGGTGAGAAGACGGCTTTATGCTTTATAAATTTTGCGTGAGGCATGAGATTACCTAAAGTAATCAAGGATATGTTTTTTGGAATGATTAAAGATAACCAAGTGTTTGCTTATGCCATGATTATACATAAAACATAGTTAAAAAACATGTTATGTAGGTTTGGTAATTAAAAATGTGATAACTTATTATGTGTGACGATCTAGGGATCCAAAATGGTATTTTTGGATCAAGGACGTCAAGAAGTATATGTGTATAAAATTTCACGTTAATCGGACTCCATTTGGGTGGTCAAACGGGCGTTGACAGCCAAGTCAACTGCCATACCCGACCGGGTATTGACACATACCCGACCGGGTATTTGCTGAAGAATTGCCCCAGGGGGCTACTGCCTCCTATACCCGATCGAGTATGGGTAGATACTCGATCGAGTATACATTGAAAATTAGCTTTGTGGGCTACTGTCTCCTGTACTCGACCGAGTATGGATAGATACTCGATCGAGTATTGGTTTATGCTCAAAACGGGCAGTTTTGAGTAGGTTAATGTGGGCCGTTCAGGTGGGACCCGCCCACGTTGGTTCCAAAGGATTGTTATATGACTATAGGGCTAGGCATTGTCCATAGTTAAAGTAACGAAAGGTTAGCCATATCCAGGTTAGGATTTGGTAGAGGATAGACTGGGGATTGAGTACCCTTGGACGGTAAATGATCCAGAATACTCCAGGTGGGGTCGAGTACCCTTGGACGGTAAATGATCCAGAATACTCCAGGTGGGGTCGAGTACCCTTGGATGGTAAATGATCCAGAATACTCCAGGTGGGGTCGAGTACCCTTGGACGGTAAATGATCCAGAATACTCCAGGTGGGGTCGAGTACCCTTAGACGGTAAATGATCCAGAATACTCCAGGTGGGGCTGAGTACCCTTGGACGGTAAATGATCTTAAATACTCCAGGTTGGGTTGAGTGCCTTGGACTGTAAATGATCCTAAAACACTCGGTAGTATGAATCGAAGGTAGACTATAGCTTGTGAGCTAGGCAACCGGGAAAGGAGTGAGAAAAGTCAAACAAGAACTTTATCTCTAAAAGACTCTTTAAGGTAAATGACCTACGGATTGAGTATTTTACGAGTATATATACAGTATGTATCATCGGGTGGATGAGATACATCTATATATATGTATCACCCTATTTTTGGGTCTCGTGTCTGAAACATTAGTTATTCTTCATATAGCCTGCTTGTCACTAGTACTTCTATGGAGTACTGACCCCTCCAGGGGCCCTCACATTTTTCAGGTTAAGGCTAGAGTCCTACTACCTGCACCTTTGTCTAGGGTGATCGTCCAAGGAGGAAGACGTGGTTCGTGCTTCCATTCGTATTTGAAATTTATAAACTGCTCATGGATTTTTGAACAATGTTTTCCTTAAAACAGTTGGGGACCTGCGTGCCCGTATTTGCCATGTGTGGTTGCTAAGTATCAAACATATTATTATTTCCGCATTTTTTCGATTATGAGATTGATGTTGATTGTATGTGTTTACTAATCGGTTTGGCAATAGAATCAATCGGACGCCTTGTACAATTCAATAGGGATGAACTGTTGTTATTCTTATCGGGTTGTACGGTGGTTGTCTACGAGGCTCGGATGCGGTCCGGGGCGTGACATGATGTCCCTTGGAGATTTTTTATAACTCCCGTTCGGACCTGACATCCTCGGTCTTGGGATAGATTTTTCTTTTTATGTCACTTAGATGTCAAATCAACATGGGCTAGCTTTTGCTAGCCTTTTTTATGTGTCAGAGGTATCAAGATAGGATAAGTGAGTCTCCTGTCACATTACCAAAAACGTGGGCCAGGGTGGTCCTTTCATTGCTAGTGTCTCTCCCTCTCCGGAGGAACATCTGTACCTTTTCAAACTCCGGCAAGGCAATGAAATGGGTGTGGTTCTCTGGTTAGCTATCTCCGTGCCCTCCTACCCCGTAGACCCTGTTTAGGAGTGGAATTTGGAGGGAGGTAGTGATTTGAAATGACGTCCGCGCTGCTGGATCGGATCTGAAAAATTTGCAGAACACCTTGGTTTTTCTTGCTGAAATCAATTCATCTTCGATGGAAATTTTTTGTAGAACACAAATAAAATCTTTTAATTCTGTTCCCACAGACGGCACCAATGTTGAAGTTTAGTCCAACATAAACTAATAAATATAAATATAATATGTATGAAATGCTCTGTTTTTACGTGGAAACCCAGAAAGGGAGAAAACTACGAGACTTTTTAGGCTAACGTCCAAGCCCGCTCTTTTTCATTAACTCTCCTCACCAAAGTACATATACAAGTGTTGAAGCCCCATTAATGGAACTCATCTAATGAGGAAGAAGCAGCAGGGAGAAGAGCTCCCATCGGGGAAGAGCTAAAAAACCAAGCCCCTTTAAATGGAAGCCTAACTTCCTATTTATAGAAGGGGGTGGGGGCGTTCTAGCCTAATGGGCCAGACAGGCCATAACGGGCCGAGATGGGCCCTAAATGGCTTTCAACGAGCCGGGTGGGCCTAAATGGGCCTCGCTGACTTGGCTTCATATCGGGGTGATGTCTTGGGCCTCTGAACAGTAGTAGGCTGGGATAATATTCCCCAACAAACATCATCAAAATCGGGGGATTTATCAAGCACATTAATATCATTGCAAGAACCCGGTGTCCCGAAGAATGCATGCCAAATCCAAAGGTCACGAGAGGCAACAACTTCCAAGGTAAGGGCAATTTTTTATTCCTACCCGGAAACATAACTCTCCATGCTCGGGGACAATTCTTCCACTCCCGGTGCATGCAATAAATGCTACCCATCATGCCTGAGAATCCATGACTTTCACCCTCCGCAAGAAGCAGTGTGACGTCTTGGGTGTTTGGTTTACGAAGGTACTCAGGCCCAAATATGGTTGTGACCCCTTCAACGAACTGAAGGATACATTCTCTTATAGTTGTATCTGCAACTTTGAGATACTCATCTAAAATATCCGCCGTAACTCCAAACGCCAATATCCGTATGGCACAAGTGCATTTTTGTTGCACAGATAATCCCATTCGACCAACAACATCTTGCTTTTGGTGAAAGAATGAATTATGTGCACTCAGGGCATTCGTGATTCGCTCAAAGACACATTTACGCATATGAAATCGACGACGAAACTCACGTTGTCCATATGTTGGAGTATCGATGAAGTAATCACACATTAGACGTTTATGAGCATCATCACGGTCCTTATGCAGGTAGCGTCACACCTTTGGATTGGACGCTCAATTGTTTGTGTTAGCAATTGAGGTAAAGTAGATATTATGCTATTCTCTACCTCCCTTCTCTCTTCACGTTATGCATCAACATCTTGATTGAACTTGACGAACTCATCAAGATCGCTTTGATATAAATTAAATCGACGTAGGAGTCGGAGGTAGAAGATGCAAACATATTCAGGGAGTTAAATTGAGGTGTGTTTTTTCTTCAACATAGTGTCCACATTAAAAGATGTGATTTAGACCGATAGATGTGGTTGGTATGAGTTATGTTAGTTGGTATGCATTTATTTTTTAGGTAAGTATGAAGTTGGTAGGTGCATTTACTTGGTAGGTATGCATTTATTTGGTAGGTATGCATTTATTTATTAGGTACATATTTAATTGGTGGGTGATGTTAGGTGTGGAGTAAATTTCAAAATTAATAAATTACACAGTAAATATAACAAAATAAAACATCAACACGTAATACCTTTTATTAAAATAAAGTTCAAATGAAAAATTGAAAACATCTTATTCCTAAAAACATTTATTCGTAAAAGAAATAAAGTACGACAAAAGCAATTTAGAAACTAGACTTGAACTCCTCAAACAAACGATCATAAATCTCCATTTCTCGTGGATTTAATGAGGACTTTCTCACGAGAGCTGTGAACAGGTGGAACCTTTGATCTCTTTCTTTCTGGATGCGTTTGTCCTCTTTCTCTTCGAGTCTATCCTCCTGATGTTGCCTTTGAAGCTCAATCATTTATTTTTGTAACTCAATGCATTCCATATCAACAACTTGTTCCCACTCTTTTTGTTTGTTCAAATTTGCCACTGCATTTGTAATACTTTCAATCGATTCGGCTGACGAATATTGAACTTTACCTCTTTTTTCATTTTTTCACTCCTTCTAGACTAGGCATTTCCTTATTCGGTAAATCTTCTTTCGTATTTGTTCATGTTCTTTTAGAACTTCCTCCACTTTCACAAAATTGGGAAGAACTTTGCATGTTGGATCCACCACCCCATTTAGGATAATTTTTCAATATGTTCCACATGTGTTAAAACGAAAAGTTTTGTTGTTGTGGTCCGCACCAAAAAGGCGCTTCGCCTCAGTTATAACATCTTCTTCAGTCCACCCACTCTTACGATGTCGAACGACTTCATCATAATTTCCGGTAATTTTGCTTATGAGCGTGCTTGCACGTTTGAACCGATTACAACATGACTCTAACGTTCTCATCCTTAGTTTTTGTGGTTGCTCCTGTTATGCATCCATATAAAGTTTTGTGATGTTTAATCAATGTGTGAGGTGTTTTTTATCCGTAACTTTTGAGACGTCTCCACCAGCATGAATATATGCCCATGTCAAGGCCACATCTTCGGGGATGGTACGATCCAAGTAACCGATGTACTAGCTCGTCCATCTTTTTTCTCTGTACTCTTGCTCGGTGATGACACTAACCCTGTGCTTGCCTCAACTTCGTCCTCCTCACCTCCAAGATTAACAGAAGTCACATTTTCACGACTTGCCTCATGAGCAAACTGATGGATTGTCTACCCGGGGGTATATATCCGAAGGGTTATTGCGGGGAATAACTTAGAGAGAAGTCAGAGCGAGTAAGTAAATGTAGAGAGAGAGTGTATTCAGTATGAATGTCGTGGTTACAAATGGGGAAATGGGGTGCTATTTATAGTAGCAATAAATGTCGGACAGGGACACGTGTCAAGCGCTCATTGGCCGAGGGGTCACCTCAACTGGTTGGCGTTGGCAGCCGCATGTGGCCGCATTTAATGCGGCTGTTGGATGGGACGTCTGTGCAGGGTACGGTGATCTGTACGCATGTGAGGCGGATATCTTGTCGAGTGAGATGCCTTCGGCTATAGAGCAGTAGCCGAGGGCTCCTCCAACCGATGGCACCCTGGTGCCGAGGGCTCCTCCAACCGATGGCACCCTGGTGCCGAGGGCTCACAGTGCCGAGGGCTACTGTTTTCGCCGTTTTCTCCCAGTTTCTTAATTTGCTTGAGAAACCCGTTCTGTGAGAGTTTAGAGCCTTCGGCCAGGGGGCCGAAGGCACCCCTGGCGCGTAGTGCGGGCTGCTTGGTACTCTGGGCGCTGTGATTTGGGCCTGTTGGGCCTTCTGGGCCTTCGCTGGAGTAGTAGGAGTCTGTGGGCCGGGGGTTCCCGGGCCATATACTCCATCAGGAGTCCCTCACTCCTTTTGCCGAAAGGTACTTGAGGGAAAAGGAGTAATTTGTGCTTGCCCTTTGATGTTGTCCCGTCGTGATCTCTGAAGTTGGTGAGGAGTTGTTGCTTTTATTTCCCTGCCGAAGGCAGTCCCTCAGTTACCCACATGTCGGGACATGAGGGCTTGCTTTGTCGTTTGTTGGTATTTCACTAATTTTGTAATTTAATGATTTTCCCGAGGGGGTCCTCCAGTCCCCCACTCCTTGAGGCACTTGTAAAGTGGTGAAAAGGAGTAGAGTAGTTGCGTTGCTGTTGTGGGCCGAAGGCTCACGCTTTTCGTTTCATTTTGGGGGGATGCCTCGTTAAAAACCTCATTAGGAAAAACCCTGGGGGAAAAAATCCTAACGAGGGAAAAAGAGTGCACCGAATTCCCCCAATGATGAATCGAAAATGTGAAACCTTGGTCAAAAATGGAGAACAACGGTAATGCCGAAGGCTCTTCCTTGTTCTGAGGGCTCATGTGTTGATTAGCCGAAGGCTTGCTGTTGATGTCCTGGGGGCGCCGGAGGGGAGCCCCTCAATCCGGGGATCGAGGGCCTGCCGGATGAGGGCAGCAGTGGAGTTGTTACCGGGGGGTCCACTGTTTGTTGATTAGTTGGTGATGAAGATACCCGAGGGCTCCCATTACCTGTGTGCCATGGGTCATCCGTCAATGAGGCAACTCCCCGGGGGCTACCCGGTTTTGTAGTGCTGAGGGGGAATCCCCGGGGGGTGCCCTGATATGAAGCCTTGGGTTTCTGAAGGAGTGATCCCGAAGGCATCTGCTATGGGCTTTGTGGGGCACAACCCGGAGGCTCTCCTTGACGAAGAGGAGTGAAGTAGAAAACCCGGGGGCTTCCAGAATATAGCCGTTGGAAATATAGCCGTTGGAATATGTAACGACAGGATATAGCCGTTGGGGGGGCACACGTGGCGTGTGATGGCTGGCTGTCCGTGGGCGGCATCACGGGTTGGGTGAAGACGCGGTGTGTAATGATGGCGGTCCATCCGGAGGCCCGGAATCCAGGCCCAAGCCCGGATTCCAGCGCCTATAAATACCCCAAGGCCAGAGCCATTTCCTCTTGTGCGATCAGTTGTCTTAGCGAAGCTCTGCCAAAAATTCTAGTGAGAGAAACTCCAGCCTTCGGTCAAAACTCTGCTTTCGAGGTCAGTGCCCCCTGCCTTTCTCCTTCTAGTTTAGCTGTGCATTGTGCCCTCGGGTTAGGAGATAGAATTCCCTAGAAACCTTAGTTCCCCCGAAACCTCGAGCTAGAGTTAGAATGTCGTCCCAGAGTGACTCTCAGGACATCTCGAGGACCCCCTCGGTTCAGGACGAAAGCATCTCTGACATGGAGTCCAGTAGCAGTCAGCCCTCAGGTGGTGGTGATGCAGCTCTCGCCACCGAGGTGCAGAAGGATCTGGTGGCCGAGGTCGAGGCGGAGGAGTTCGAGCGAACCGCCGAGGATGAAGAGTTGGCCCTCGCCGTCCAAGTTGCTGAAGAGGAGGAGGAAAAGGAGAGGGCGAAGGTCACTGTCGCTGTTCTTCCCCCCCCCCCCCCCCCCCGGGGTTCTGGGGAAGCAAGTAGCTCGAGGCCACTGGACCCGACGCCTTTAAGTGTAGCCCCCGGGAAGAAGAGGAGGAAGACGAAGGCTGGCCCCCAGAAGAAAGTAAGGGCCGTCGATCAAGGGGGGCCAGTTGATCTACCGGAGGGTTACTCCTTCCTGGACACCGCCGCTCTGGAGATTAAGTCCCAAGTTGACAGGGCGGACATCTACATCACCCAGTTGCACGTAGGGCCCTCGGCCGTAGTAGTCGAGCCAGGTCCTGATGACGTGCTGTCCCGGCCTCCCGAGGGATGTATAGCCGTGCACGTGCTCTCGGTTTCAATGGGCCTCCGGTTCCCTCTCCATCCGTTCCTCCGGGAGTACCTGAGGTACACTGGCCCGGTTCCTTGCCAATTGACCCCCAATAGCCATTCATACATAGCTGGGGTTTGTGAACCTGTGCAAACTCCGGGGGGTTACACCGAGCTTGGAGTTATTCTTCCAAAGCTTTAACCTATGCCGGGGGGGCCATACCAATGCCGAGGGCTATGCGAACTTACAGCAGATAGCCCAGTTCAAACTGTTCACCGAGGCCCCTTCTTCCAACAAGGGGTGGAGAGAGCGATGGTGCTACATCAGACTGGCCGACAGTCCTTTCCCGAGGGAGTTGCGGAATTGCTTTCGGCGCCATGTGAAGGTCAAGAGTGCCGCCCTCGAGGAGGATGGCCTGAAGATTGCCAAGATTCCGGAGGGTCGGGATAAAAACATAACCATCAAGGAGTGCATCCTCGAGGAAGACCTATATGCCCTCGGATTCCTGAGGTATCGGTTCATTGGGGAGACCGATGAGAAGTATCCCCTCTATGATAAAGCCTTCGTGGGAGCAGGAGGTAGTGGCCGGGGGCTTTACATTTTTGTACTTAGAGATTTTCTGTCATGTTTGTTGTCGTGTCTCTGACCCCTCGGTTCTAACCTTTTAACTTGTTGTTTCTTTGCAGGTAGCAGGATGAATGCCAACGCCCTGTTCGCAAAGAGGAAGGGCAAGACCCAGTCAAAGGAGAAGGGGCCCTCGGGCCAGAAGCCAGCCGACGCCTTTTTTCCGAAGGTCGTAGAGCCCTCCACTGGGGACGTCCATGCTGCCGTGGGGACCAGGGGGTCGAAACCCGAGGCGGCCGTGAAGAAGAAGAGGAATGATAAGGGGGTGGAGCCCCCCACCAAGAAGCAGAAAGCCGCCGGGGGCGCCATCGAGGGGGCGGCCCCCCTCATAGTTATTGATGACACACCCGCCGCCGATGGGCCCCTGGCCTCGGTCACCCCGAAGGCTCTGGTGAATCCATCCCCGGAGGAATTGCCTCGGGAGATCCGTCAGCTCTCCTTTGCCCCCGGCGCTTCCCTGATGCACGGCACTGCCGAGCCGAGGGCCTTCCTGCGGGGCATCACCTCGAAGATGGACAGGGAAGTCTTCGAGACCTACGATGATGATGCCCTCGAGAACAGGATCCTCCGGTCCTCTCTCACTGTAAGTATCTGCTTCCTTTTCCCTTATCTTATTAGTTTAGTATTATTTTTCCCTGTGGAATAATCTAACTCCTTTGATCGTTGTTTGCAGGCCTGCATAGCCCTCGGGGAACAGGCCCGGAGGCGCGAGGAAAGGCGCCTTCACGAGGCCGCCCAAGATAAGAAGGTGGAGGGGTTGATCCGCAAGAACTCCGAGGCAGTGAGGCATGCTGCACAGCTGGAGGAGGCCCTCCGGGAGGCGAAGGCGGCGGCGGAGAAGGCCAAAGCTGACGGTATAGCCGAAGGCAAGGCTGAGGCCGAGAGGGTTGCTGCCGAGGCGGCGAAGAAAGCTGCCGATGAGGCCAAAACCGCCCAGGAGGGAGCTGTGGCCAAGGCCCGAGGGGAGGCAGTTGCTGAGTTTCTTGTTGAGGGCTGGAGGACCGAGGGCCATAAGGAGTGGGTGGCCTCCGTGGTGGCGGCCTCGGTGGATGCTTGGGTAGAAGGCCCCGGGGTTGACTGGCTGACAGATAGGGGCGACGCCTACTATCAGGGGGGTGAGTTTTTTACCCAGCATTTGATTTACCGGAGGCTCGCCAGGCACTTCGGCGTATCCCTTGATCAATTCGACCCCTCGGCATACGGCCTCCCCCCATTGCAATCAGACGTGAGAGTTCCCCTCCCCCCGGGCGAAGAGCGGCCGACGATATATGATTCCGTGATGATGGGGGGTGATGGGGGCGGAGCCGTCGGAGGTGATGCTGCCGGGGAAGAAGTCTCCTCCAAAGCTGCCGTGGAAGATGCCCCCGGAGATAACGATGCTGAAGCCGCAGAGAAAGTTTGTACTTAGTTAATATTTAAAACTTCTGTTGTAACGGACACCTTTGATCCTTCGGCTTCGGCCTGTCTGTAACGATTACATTGACTCCTTTTTGTTGTAATTGAATGATTGCCTTCGGGCTTTGTATATATGACTTTTTCTCCTATTCCTTTCTTCTTGAATGTATGCCTCCGTTTTCCTTGAGTGTATGCCTTCGGTATTTTTGAATGTATGTCTAGGACTTAGAATATTTTTCGATTGTAGCTTGCCCTTGGAAGCCTTCGGTAGTTGGGCACCCTCTGCTGGATATGCATCCGAGGGTTCAGTAGGAATTAGGACTTAGAAAATTTTTCTAAGTGTAGCACACCTTAGGGCCTTCGGGTGTTTGTAGTAACCGAGGGCCCAATGTACAGGACTTAGAAATTTTTTGCAAGTGTAGTATGTCACGTAGCCTTCGGCTACTGTGGAGCCCCAACTGAAATATTGAATAGGCCGGGGGCCAATTCTTTAGGACTTAGAATTTTTTCTTCAGTGTTGGTTCCTTGTGTACTGTAGCCTTCGATTGATAGGTAGCCTTTGGCTATTAGGCCCCTTGAGATGAGGGTGAAATATGTAGGACTTAGAAAGATTTCTAAGTGCAGTTTTTTCCTTGGGAGCCTTCGGGAGATGGCATCCCTTCTTGATGTATGAGTAGTTGACCGGGGAAAAACATGTAGGACTTAGAAAATATTCTAAGTGTAGATTTTCCCTTGGGAGCCTTCGGGAGATGGCATCCTTTCTTGATGTATGGGTAGTTGACCGGGGGAAAAACATGTAGGACTTAGAAAATACTCTAAGTGTAGATTTTCCCTTGGGAGCCTTCGGGAGATGGTGTCCCTTCTTGATGTATAAGTAGTTGACCGGGGGGAAAACATGTAGGACTTAGAAAATATTCTAAGTGTAGATTTTCCCTTGGGAGCCTTCGGGAGATGGTGTCCCTTCTTGATGTATAAGTAGTTGACTGGGGGGAAAACATGTAGGACTTAGAAAATACTCTAAGTGTAGATTTTCCCGTGGGAGCCTTCGGGAGATGGTGTCCCTTCTTGATGTATAACCTTCGACTGTCATATTCATTTAGTTGTAATATTGATTGAGCCGGGGGCCCATCGTTAGGACTTAGAATTTTTTTTTTGCCAGTGTTGTTGTATCGCATAGCCTTCGGCTATCATATTCCCTTGGCTGTGATATTGATTGGGCCGGGGCCCCTCTTTAGGACTTAGAATTTTTTCTAAGCGTAAATTGATGTTGAATCCTGTTGTTGTGAAGAAAGCCAATGAGGAGTGTGTGCCCTCGGCATGAGGTAAGGGCCCTCGGTACTAGTGCGTAACAGGTGCCTTCGGTATTTGTTTGAAGGTACCGTTTTAGTGCATTTTGGATAGTCCAGTCCCTTTGTATTGTTGAAGCCTTCGGTGTTTGTGTGATATTTGTTTGAGTAGTATCCTTCGGGAAATAGGAGCCTTCAATTACCGGAGGTGTCCCCGTGGGGAGCCCTCAGCATGTTGTGATCTGTTGGAGTGTACTCTTTGATTTCTCGCTGAGTCTACTCCCCTTCACCCCCCCCCCCCTTTTTTTTTTTGGTTGGTGGTGAAGGGAAGGCATCAAGAAACTTGGTTTCTTGGTAAGGCTGGGCCTATTAGGAGACCATCAGAATACACTAATGGCTCTCCTCCCTCGGGTTAACCTTCCGAGTTCCGAGGGGATCGAGGGTCGTTTCCTGGGCACAAGATATGGTGGTCCGTAACCTGCCTCCCCTTGGGGGATGGCGCGGAAAGCGCCTCATTTTTGAAAGTCGTCCCCTCGGCGCTAGACATAGTCCGTGGCCTGCCACACCCTTGGGGTGGTGGCGCGGGGAGCGTTTCGGTTTGGAAGTCGAATCCTGGGCATTTCTCATGCCTGTCATACCCTGGGGGTAGTGACGCGGATAGCGTTCCGTTTTTGAAAGTCAAATCCTGGGCATTTCTCATGCATGTCATACCCTGGGGGTAGTGACGCGGAAAGCGTTTCAAGGAAGGGTTTTCATTTGCACACTAGTTGCAAATGGCCGGGGGCACTACGTGCCGCCGGCACCGATGGTGGTGCCTTCGGTATATGCGTCCTCGTGGGGTACGGCTTTTAGAAACAACACTTGGTGTTAGTTTCGATGTGTAGCCCCCGGTACTTGGTACCGACGGGTCTTCTGTAGGAACACTTGGTGTTCTCTTTTGTTGCAGTTGATGGAGGTGTCTACCCTCGGTACCTGGTACCGAAGGGTCTTCAAATGAAACACTTGGTGTTTCCCAATAGATATTTGGAAGTTGATAGGAGAGCATATCCCTGGCACTGGGTGCCGAGGGGTCTTCTTTGAAACATTTGCTGTTTTTTCTTCGTTTCGATGTTTGGTGATGGAGGTGTACCCTCGGCACTGGGTGCCGAAGGGTCTTCTGTAGGAACACTTGGTGTTCTTATTTTTCTTTTCTGACGTTGGAGGTGGGGATGTACCCTCGGCACTGGGTGCCGAAGGGAAATGAAACACTTGGCGTTCCTTGTTGTTGGTGATAGGAGTTCCCTCCCCTGGTACTTGGTACCGAGGGGTCTTGTTCGAGAACACATGGTGTTCTTCTGCTGTTGTAGGTGTTGATGGTGTCCGCCCTCGGCACTTGGTGCCGGGGGGGTTTGTTCTTGTAGTATGAGGGCGTGGTGTCTTGAATGTGTCTTCATTCCTCAAAGGTGGAGGCCTTGGGCCAAAGGGTAGTACATTCATTAGTTATGAGGGCTTGGCCGCTCTTACATTATTGGTAAAATTTAACTAAATGGTGTACATTCCAGTGCCTAGGGACCTCTTTCCCGTTGGGGCGTTTGAGCTTGTATGTTCCAGGTTTGATGATGGCTGCAATGATGTAGGGGCCTTCGAATTTTGGCGCCATTTTGCCTCCCTCGGTTGGTTGGCTGGCTTCCCTCCTCCGGAGGACATAGTCCCCCACTTGGAATTCTCGGGTGCGAACTTTGGCGTCGATGTAGCTTTTGACTTGCCTTCGGTAGTTTTCCGCCCGGATGAAGGCCTGCCCCCGGCGTTCTGAAATGAGGTGGAGGTCGAGGGCCATGTTGCTGTCGTTGACCTCGGGGTCATATTGGATCACCCTTCGGGTGGGAAGGGCGACTTCCGTAGGAGCTTTGGCTTCAAAACCGTAGCACAGGGAGAAGGGTGTTTCACCTGTTGCTCGCCGAGGGGTGGTGCGGTAGGCCCAAAGGATGTTGTGGAGTTCTTCCACCCTGCCACCGCCCTCGGCCTCCAGCTTCTTTTTTAGGCCCTCGAGCAAGGTCCGGTTGGCATTCTCTACTTGCCCGTTGCCTTGAGGGTAGGCCACGGAGGAGAAGGTGTGTTTGATGCCCCATGCCTCCAAGAGGGCACAGAAGGGGGCTGCCTCAAATTGTGTCCCATTGTCGGAGATGATCTGCTGGGGGACGCCAAACCTTGTGAGGATGTTCTTGAGGACGAAGTGACGGCACTTCGCCTCTGTGATGCTGGCGAGGGGTTCAGCCTCCACCCACTTGGTAAAGTAGTCGACGGCCACGATGATGTATCTGTTGTTGGAGGTACCCCTCGGCAGAGGGCCCACAAGGTCTATTCCCCATCGAGAAAAGGGGACAGAGGTGCTGATGGGGGCATAGTTGACCGCTGGCCTGCCGGGGGCTTTCTGGAAGTGTTGACATGCGGTGCACCTCCGGGCAAGGTCAGCACAATCCCTGGCCATGGTTGGCCAGAAGTAGCCCTGGAGAATGAGCCTTCGGGACATGGAGAAGGGTCCCTGGTGAGCTGAGCAAGTGCCACTGTGCACTTCCTCCATTGCGACCTCGGCTTCATCCGGATGAAGGCACCGAAGTAGCGTGCCATTGTAAGATCGTTTGTAGAGCCTTCCATCTTCGATGGTGTAGCTAGGAGCCCTCAGCTTTGCCAGTTTAGCGCGGGCCTCATTTTCGGGTAGCTGCCCTGTGGAGATGAAGGTGGTGATATCTGAGATCCAATCCTCTTGACGTTGTTGTATGTTCATAACGGGGCTTGCATGGATGCTTGAGAGGCTGAGTTCCTCGATTTTGGCAATTTTGGAGATGTGCTCGGGGGAGTCGGCCGAGAGCTTAGATAATATGTCGGCCTCGGAGTTCTGAGCCCTCGGTATTTGAGTGAGAGAGTGTGCCTCAAATACCTTAAGCAACTCCTTGGCCGCTTCCTTGTACTGTTTCATTCTCCCCTCCTTGGCCTCATATTCTTCGGAGATTTGGCCAACGACCAACTTGGAGTCGCATTTGATGTGGATCTGCCGAGCCCTCAAGTTGGCAGCTAGCCGAAGGCCACATAGGAGGGCCTCATATTCGGCCTCGTTGTTGGAGACTTTGAAGGAGAAGCGGATTGCATAGTAGGCTCTGAAGCCCTCGGGAGTAATGAGGACTACCCCTCCCCCGCATGCTTTGGTCGCGGAGGAGCCGTCAGTGTAGAGGGTCCACCAATCATCCGAGGCAGCCGAGGGCTCCCCGTCCGTGGCTGCCCTTGCGGTACACTCCGTCACAAAGTCCGCCAGGGCTTGGCCCTTGATGGCAGGCCTTGGACGGATGTCAATGTTGTACTGGCTCAAGAAGATAGCCCATTTCACCATGCGGGAGGAGCTGGTGGGGCTCCTCATGAGGGCGCCGAGGGGTTGATGAGTGAGGACCTGAACCGGGTGAGCCTGAAAGTAGTGGCCCAACTTCTTGACAGTCCAAACGATGGCCAACACCGTTTTTTCCACAGGGGAGTACCTGAGCTCGGCCTCCGTTAGGGTCTTGCTAACGTAGAAGATGGCATGTTGGATGCCGTCTTCCTCCCGAATGAGCACAGAGCTGATGGCCGCCGGGATGACCCCAATGTAGAGGTAGAGGGTCTCCCCTACCTTGGGTTTGGAGAGCACAGGAGGTGAAGATAGATATCGTTTGAGCTCGTCGAAAGCCCCCTGGCATTCTGGAGTCCATAGAAAGCCAGCCGTCTTCCTCATGATCTGGAAGAAGGGTAGAGACTTCTCCGCTGATTTAGATAGAAAGCGGTTGAGGGCGGCCAGGCGGCC